ACAGCATTGAGAGGGTCCAGAGGAGGGCCACCCGCATGATCCGGGGACAGCAGGGCAGACCTTACAAAGAGAGGCTACAGGACCTTAACCTATTCAGCCTTCGCAAGAGAAGGCTGAGGGGGGACCTGGTGGCCATCTATAAACTCACCAAAGGGCACCAGCAGGGTTTGGGAAATACCCTGTTCCCCCTAGCGCCCCCCGGGGTAACAAGGAATAATGGCCACAAATTGTTAGAGGGTAGGTTTAGACTAGACATCCTAGGATCTGGAACCAACTTCCAAGGGAAGTGGTGATGGCTCCTACCCTGGGGGTCTTTAAGAGGAGGCTTGATGTCTACCTGGCTGGGGTCATTTGAGCCCAGTTTTCTCTCCTGCCCAGGGCAGGGGGTTGGACTTGATGATCTACAAGGTCCCTTCCGACCCTGCTTCTATGAATCTATGAAACTACAATAGTTACCCACAGCTTTTCTAGCTTCAGCCACTTTGGAGGCAAGATAAAACATCTTTCCCCTGTGAGACAACTTCCTTGTATTGGCTTTCTCTTCCCTGTTGTAGCCTTATCAAAATTATCTAGGATGGCAGGACCCTAGAAGGCAGTTGAGCTCATTTGACAAATTCCTAGAGAATCAGTTGGAGGTGCAACTTCCAAAGTAGATCTTCCTCAACCTCTGAATACTGGCCACTGTAGGAGGAGAGAGGAAAGGGATGGATCATTCTGAAACATGCCCTGTTTACATGTCCTTACCCATAGCATCCACTTTCTGCCACTGTAAGGGACAGGATACTGGGCTACATGGATCTGTAGTCTGACCCAGCATGACATTTCTTGCATTCTTATGAAAAGTTGGCTCATCATATGCAACAAGGCAGAGTTAGCACTGCTGTAGCGGCCATAACTATGGAATTTCCTGACTCCCATAAAACTAAAATCTCTGCCACGATGCTGTATTACTGCAGGTTTCAGAGCGTAAATGTCATGTTCTTTACTTTTTAAATTACTTAGATTACCCATTTACTTAAATATTAATGTACTTCATGAGTTTGAAAGCATATGTATAACAGCATCATGACTGGACTAAGATCTATGTCTACAATAAGCAATTTATATAGGTATATGATTGTTTGGAACACTACACCTTAATAAATTGTTGAAAAATGGAAAGGAAAGACTGATTTTCAAACCTTTCTGCCAGACTCATTAGACTGTAAATAAACTTTCTTTCTACCAGCACTTGTCCCCGTGTATGATCATATTCTTTCACCTTCTGCTCTTTCCTCCTAGTCCTTCCCCAGTATCTCCCCTTCTATTGTCACACCACCCATTATGACAGGAATGCCATCTTTCTTCTCGTCTGCAAACTATCTTTTTTTCTCCTGGAAACAGGGTGGCCAGCCCAAGGAAAAAAATCTACTGACAGTCTTTTTTTTCTTTTTCTTTTTTTTACTGACAACCAAACATTTTTACTGACATGTGTTTTACATAATGTAAAAGTAACCCTTATGCCAGGCCCTGTATGGCAATGGTAAGGGAAGGGTTCAAATTTAGAAGTTTAACACCAGTCACAGTAAAAAAAAAATTGGTTGTTAGTAAACAAGGTGGCAGACTATCAGTAAAAAAAAAAATCTTGGGTTGGCAACCCTGCTTGACTGCATCAATGGTTTTTCACCATGCTGCCCTCATCCCATTGGCTCCCTATTCACTCCCATATTCTGACACCCTTGACCGTACTCCACACAGTGCTGCCCTCACCCCAGCCCACCCCTAGCCTTACTCCCACCAGCCCCACTCCTCCCATGCTAACATGGACTCCCATCCATTGCTTCTCCCCATTCCAGCCCATGGCTCTGTCCCAGGCACTCCAGCAGCTGTTAGAGATAGGAGACAGGTAAAGGGACACAGCCATGACAGAACATGGCTAGGGAGGGGGCTATGAGTGAGCCACAAAGCCCTGAGAAGAGGTCTCTGCAGATGCTGCACTCCCACTCAGACACCAGGTGGCACTGCTATGTTCCATCTGTCTATCAAGCTCATCGTTGCTTAGATTTTTACAGACAGCTTCTGGGTTTTTTATGGAATTTACACACAGGTGGTTTTTTGCCTTAATTTTTACATACTGTTGATAAATTTACAGACAGTTGGCAACCCTGCCTGGGAATCTCTCCTTTGAAACCATCTCTTTCTTTGCACTGATCATCGTTGATCCACACCCTGCTCTATTCACTCTTCTCCCTTTCTGTATGCTGTCTTCCTATATGCTGAACATGTTTGTCTGATTTGGGGTGAGATTGAGGCACAGCTCACAGTCACAGAGAGGGGTAATGAATGGCCGTGCTGTCCAGGCATAGAACGTGGAAGGAACTATAATTCTGAGTTACTCTTTCCTTGCTCTTGAGGAAGTCATCTGCAACTTGCCTGTGCCCGTATAAACGTCATCCCCTTCTGCAGCAGCTTGGCTCCACTGGTCAGAATTTTGAGGGCTATAGCTGGGGCACTGCCCACTACTCACAGGGCAAATGAAAATCATACCTTTACACAGTAAGGTCCTTAAAGCAATGACCTTATTTTTGTATGTGTTTGTGAGAGAGGGAGAAACGTGTACACATCTGGTGCTTCATAAATGTTTATCAACAGCTGAGGACTAAGTGGGGGCAAATTTGAGATTTTGGAAGAAAAGATCTGGCTTTGAGTTATCTATACACTCAAAAGCTCTGTAACATCAAACTGTGGTTCACAAACAGTCAGACAGATTCTTCCATTTCCCAAAAATAAATCACTTTTAGGCAGAAAGCAAGAAAATGGTACTTTTTTTCCAGTAAGTTAAAAGAACCGGAAGGAAGGGGCTTTAAAATTGATTCTTAGAAGTCAGAGACATCAAGAGATGTAAAGCTAGAGATGTATTATTTCTCCAGCCAGGGCAGGACTGTATCCTGCAGGGCAGATAGTAGTGTTTTGTCCAGTCTAGTTTTAAAAGAGAGTGTTTTACAGCCCAATATATTTCACTGTCAGAAGCTAATTTCACATACACTCTCCAGTGGAATTAGGTCCTCAAAACACATTGAGAGAAGTCAAAAGCCATCAGTTCTCCACTGTGCTACAAGTGGGATTTACAGCTGTGCAGCTCACCATCTTAGGCACCAATACAGCAAAAACACTCTAGTATCTAATTGTGGAATATAGATTTAAGGCAGGCAAATAAATATTAACTACTTTGTTTTTACCATTCCAGGGTTCAGCTGCTTTAGATTATTTTTATATTATTGCTTGCTCTAGTGGGTTGAACACAGAATCAGGAGACAGTGGTTCTATTCCTGACTGTTGGTGACTCATCGTGTCTCAGTCACCCCATTAGAAACATGAGGATGATGATACTAATAAACCTTTTTGATTTTTTTTATCTTGAGAGCTGCAAAGGAAAGGCAAATGACCCTGATCTATTTGGCTTCTAGGGGTTACCACAACATAAATGAAGAATCTTAAATAATAATAATAGAGCTGATTGGATTTTTTTAAAAGCAAAACAGTTTTCCATCAGAAAATGTTATTTCACTAAAGACATAACTTCCCTTGAGTATGTGTTCCTTTCAACAACATTTCCATGAAGACAGAAATTTAAAAAAAAATGTAAAAAGCATTTTGATAACACTGAAAAGATCTGTTTCAACATTTTCAGACTACGACATTTGGATTATTCATTTAGCAATACTTTTTATGTCTTTGCTATTAAAAAAAAGTCAAATCAAAACAAAATATTTTGACTGATCCTCAGGAAAATTGTTTCACAGGAAAATCTAATATGTTGTCTCTTTTTTCTGATGTAAAACATAACTAAGTTGGAATTCCAAATTTGTGGAAAATTCCATGCTATCTATTTCCTACATAGCCTTAAAAAATAACATAGCACTATATTTCAGGTGGGCATACACATACGCCCCTATTTCAGATAGGCACACGCATATGCCACTCATGAATATTACTACCTCCACAAACTGTCGAATAATGTATGCATACAAGTTCAGTTCACCAAAGTTGTTACGCAGCATTGTGCTACTGGGCTTCACACAGTTGTACCACACTAGCGCACTCCTTCACCAAAGTGCAATGTCTGTCTCCAAAGTAAGTCTTAGAGGACGTCTATACCACAATCTGTGCAAGGAAACAATGCTGTGAAAACATGCCCTCCTGCTCATTTCTGCTCTGCATACTCCAAATGCCAAAGACTGTCATTTGACTGCTGTTTGCTGTGTACCCCACACTGCTCCCAGGAAGGGATGTAAATATAGTTTTAAAAGTTATCCAGTTAACCTCCTCTAATTATATCAGTTAACCAATAACACAGCAGCTTGGACACAGCTGCTGCTGGGAGCTGCTCCTGGGGCCCTTTGACAGGGTGGGGGAGGAGGCAGTAGCAAGTCCAGCTAGACAATATAATCCACGTGAAGCCCCAAGCTGGAAGAGAGGGAGCATCTGTGAACAAACAGGTAATTGCTAAATTGAAGATCCATTAGGCCGCCTACTGTTTTCCTCTTTGACCTCATAGGCTATGGGTACTAGTTCCCCCTGCCCCTCCCCCTCCCCTGCTCTTCTTTCCCCCCCTCCCTCCCTCCTGCTTGCCCTGCTGCCTTATGGTTCCTGCTGGGGCACTGCATGACTTCCATTCTCCCCCTTCCCTGCCAGACTGTTTCCTGCCCCCCAACTAAACAATAACTGGTAAGCTAACTGGTTATCACTGGGCTTATTGGTTAAACAATTAGTTGTTTAACCTTTCACATCCCTACTCTCAAGGTACTGCACTTGGGCATGCATTTTGCCATGGGCCCAGTGTTGGCACTGGATTTATGACCCAGATACCTTGTTCTGGGCAGACCCAAAACCCTCAGACTGACCACAACCTCTCCATTCAATAATAAGCAAATGTTATTGATACACAGGGACAGCAGATAAGAATAATGCAAACAATTCTATATCTCTAGCAATGTTCCCTCTAAGGTGTAGTGATCTGTGAGCACCCCGCTTCGATCCGTGAACATGCCGCTTCAGTCCCTACGCTCTGCCTGCTTCCCGCCTCCATGCCTCACTGCAGCCTTTGGAAATGGCACGGTGCCATGTGCGTCCACCGCTGGGTGGGCCAGGCAGCAGGCACATGGCGTCATTTTCAAAGGCTGCAGCAAGGCGTGGAGGCAGGGAGCAGGCAGAGCGCAGATCCTGCCTTCCCTTGTCCCACACAAAGATTGGGGGCCAAGCCACATGCCCTCGCTTGGCCGCCTGCACCACACATCTGGAGGGGCCGCTGGGCTCTGACTGCCCCATGGCCCGGCATGGCCCGGCCAGGTCATGGGGCTAATCAGAGCCCAGCAGCTTGTCCAGGGGCACAGCACAACAGATCTGAGGGGGAGGGAATGTGCTCCCCCTCCTGCACAGAGCACACAGTGGTGGGAGCCACAGCTGCCCACCCACACCCCTGGATGAACCGCCGGGCTCTGACTACCCTTGCCTGGCCAGGGCTCCATTCACGGTGAATGGGTCCCTGGCTGGGCTGGGTCATGAGACAATTCCCACAGTGCAGGAAGGAGCAGGGCAGCACCCTGCCCCTACTGCACTTCCTCCTGCACTGTGGGGGTCTCGATCTGCAGACCTCAGCCCAGTGAAACTTACCTGCCTGCAGCTGCAATCCTAGGTGAGAGTGCATGGGTATCTCTGTGCCCACCCCTCCCCGCTCCTGCAGCTGCCTATGGCCAGGTTGGGGTGGGTGCGCAGCATTAAAAAGTTACTGCGTGGCATGATTTTTTCTTCTGCATAGCCATGCACATGTGCAGCTTAGAGGGAACCTTGTCTACTAGTTCTAGAGCTGTCATCAGAGTCAAGGTACATCTGGCCAGTATGTGAGCTTCACTTAGAGGTTCTCTCTTAAATGTCAGATGTCAGCAGCCTGGAGAATGGAAGCCAAGGCCCACCCCCCAGCCCCCCCTTAGTGGGGTCGATGAGACAGGCTGATGGTATACCCTCTGCCTATGGTGGCCTTGGGTTCCCCTCTCAGGGACCCTTTGCTACTCTGAAATCCCTTCTTTTGTAGTCTTTTCCCCTCTGTGATGACTCTTCATTTCTGGCCATCACTGATTGGTTTCTCTGTGGTCATCATACTGTCCATGTTCTACCCTGTCAGCATATTCCTTTGTTTCACATCACATGCACACATCCTAATTTGGGCTTTTCCGGTCTTCTCCTAATTTGGTCTGTTCCCCAAAAACTGGAAATCCCAAGGGCCCTGCAGTTGGCACTGTAACCTGGTGCCACCTTATCTCATGTTATGGAACAGTGTGGAACATGTCTTTAATTTCCCAGCCTGTGTGTCTGCTCGTTGCTTGCTGTCAGGTACAGCAGGCCCTGAGGAAACTTTCTCACAGACAGGCTTTTTAGAAATCAATTTACCCTTGCTGTTGCCCTGGATCATTATTCTAATGCATATCTACTTTACCTGTAAGCCAGGTCCCAAAAGCAAACCTCCAAATACCATTTTCTAGCCATCATCCAGTACCGCTCTAATGGCAGGTACTTTATGGGTGCATCTACACGTTCATTAATGCGCAATAGCTACTGCACATTTAGTTTAGTACTTCCTTAATGAAGTACTAACTAAATGCACAGTAACTACAGTTACTGTGCAGTAGCACTGGCATATGTTTTTTTTGTGACGGTTACTGCGCAGTAGCCTAACACTGTGCAGTAGCTTATTAGCATGGTTTTTGACTGGCACGCTACTGCGCAGTGTTATTAGGCTACCGTGCAGTAAGCATCTCACAGTAAGTCCTATGTATAGCACGTACAGAGTAGGAGGGAGCAGGCAGGGCACATTTTCTTTGTGACTCTCATTACACCTCCTCAGTGACCATAAATTTGAAGTGGAAGGCAAATAATCCACAGGACAAAAGGTCTATGCAACCAACATGTTTGGAGAGAGAGTGCACTGAAGTTATATTTCCTGCCCCGTGGTCAAAAATAGACAGAGTAATGGAAAGATATTTTCTCAAATTATCAGATATGATTGAACAGTTTCCATTAAAAAGCAACAAGAAAAAAAACACCTTACTCTACCTGGAGAGAAAAGGAAGAAAGAGATAGCAGAGTCTCATGTATTCAGCCTTCCATGTTTCAAAATGATACTGGGGCCACTTTAACTAAAGCTTGCTCAAAGAGCTTTAGTTAAAGTGCCCCTGCTGCCATTTTGAAAGGCAGGACACCGAATACACGAGACGCTGCAGCCTACTGGAGTGTTCCAATTAGAATGCTCCAGCAGATTCGATTAATCAATTAATTGAGTCTGCTCCAACACGTTCTAATCCAGACCCATTGGAGCATGTGTAAAAGTGCCCTCTGTGAGAATGCGCACCTGAAAAAGACTCTAATTTCCTCTGAAAGAGAACGGAGAGGCCTTACACATTGGCAACTTGTGTAGTTTTTCACACGAGAACAGCATTAGGGAATGGAATGGAACAGAGTTGTAATAGGACCAGAATGATCTCTAATTTCTGTTTCATGTACCTTCAAACAAAACCCTGAAAGGCAAGGCTCATGAAGCAAAAGGCAGGAGAAATAAGCCTTAACATTAATGCAGCAGTAAAGATGATACTAAAAGGGGGCCAGTAGCATAACTAGCAGGGGGGAGGGAACGTGAGAGACTCTGAGTCCCCCAGAGTCTGCCTCATCTGGAGCAGCCCTGCCCCCACCCACTTGGCCATGGGATCCATGCTGGAGAAGCCCTGACTGTAGGAGCTGTATGCTGGGACAAGGACATAGGAACTCTGAAACGGGTAAATCTGTGGGCAGTGTGCTCCAGGCTGCTGTCTCTGGCAGTGACCAGTACAAGACATTCAGAGGGAGATACATGAAATCTCTTTATCTTTTACTTCCACTAGTTCCCCTGTATGGGCTCATTCATCACACAGCAAACTAGTGGACACCCAACTGCATGCTATAATGGGTCTTGTGTCAGACACATTGTGCCCCACTCCACTCCCATTGGCACTAGTCCTCAGTACCATGGCTTCCCCTCATCTCCGCCACACAAATGCTGAAGTAAACTTACTAGCCAGACTCCATGATAATCCTACACTGCCAGTGCACTGGGACATAGTCCACCCACCAATAGCTCAGCTTCCCTCAAGACACCCAATATGATCCACCCTCTCAAAATCCTTTGACTTTTCCTTACTTACTCGATGGCACGAAGAATGGTCAGCACAAACACCAATCAATCACCACATCATCTCTGACACTACAATCAGTCAACCAGGATTTAACTGGCCATGCCATTATTGGGCACTTCTCAACCATTTTCGCTCTGTCTCTCAAACCAATACCAATGGGGCCTTCACAATGCCTTTGTGGACAAGTTCAAACTACAGCCCACATTGTTGTCTTGTGTCCATTTACTATGCTACTTGGTGGCCTTCAAGTTCTTCACACTGGTAATAACGTCACCTTAAGGTGGCTGAAACAATTTGCTGAAACCGCATACACTAAATAAATAAACTAGCTCAAAAATTCTGACAAAAATCCTGAAGCACTGAGTTTGATATCAAATCCAAAAATGCATGATGGCATTAACTACAATACCTCAGGATATTCTTGTTATTGTACACAAATGTTCAAACCCCTTCTGAATCTTGCCAAAATGTTTGCCCAATGACATCCTATGGCAATGAGTTCCATAAACTGATCCTGTGCTGCGTGCAAAAGTATTTCCCTGTATCAGTTTTGAATTCACCACCTTTACATGTCACTGAACATCCCCCTTGCTCTTGTGGGATGAGATAGGAAGAACAGAAACCCTTGATCTATCTTATCTTTTGCCATTCACTATTTTAAAAACATGTACCATAACATGTGCAACTAATGTGGTTTCCACCACTTTCCTTGTGAGACTACTCCAGTGCTCTGAACTCACTGGGAGGAAGTGCTTCCCTACATTCATCCTGAATTTCCCTCACATCACTTGCAGTTACAGCCAATGTGACACAAAAAAACTTCCTCTCTTTTGGTGTTGATACTTTTCAGTGACTTCTGGACATCATGTCCATTCTCCCTTAGACACTGTTGAACCAAGCTAAACATATTTCACTATTGTACAATCTTCTTCTATAAATCAATCACTGCAACTCCCCGATCATTTTGGCTGCTTTCCGATGATCTTTCTGACAAGAAGTACCGATGATCTGAACATAACGTCCTAGATATGGCCATGTAAAGAGGGACTATTACCTTTCTGAACAGTGATGACTATGAAACCCTAAAGTTATAACAGCCTTTTGTGCTGCCACTCCACCTTATGAAATCATCTCTCACTTGATGCCTGTTCTCTTTCCCAGGCCAAGGAATCTCCAAAATGTGACTGGGAACAGACTTTCAAAGCAGCTCGTTCTCAGGAAGACCTTGAAGGAGATGAGATGTTTAAGGGGTAAGAAAGAAGATTTTTCAGAAGAAAACCCTTGGAAAGCAAGAGATCTTTAAAAGAGTAGAGCCTGTTTGGTGCATTTTATGTTCAGAGCCTTTTTGTAAATATGGCCCTCTAACACAGCCTGGCCCTGTTACTACTGGTGTGGAGGAGCGCAAATGACTCCACACCCTGGAAATATTCCCCACTCCCAGCCCAGACCTGGAGGGACTCACTAAAGGCTGAGGATCCAGTTCTGGGAACATAGCAAGCTTCCCAGAAAGGGAGCTAACCCAGGGTGGGGAATGAACTGGCGAACCATGAACTGGTGGGGGAGGGGTGTGGAATAAAAGATGCTCAAAGCACCCTCTGGGGGCAGCATTAGCAGAGGCAGAGAAGGCAGTTGCCCTGAGCCTAGGGTCAGTGGAGCTCAAGCAGCTGCTGAGAGAGGTTGGGAGCCAGGCTTGTCTCTCCTTTATTTTGTTTGCACAGAAACCACCTGGGCTTGCTGCAAAGCCTCTGAAAGATAAGACATGATGGGGGAGTGAAGACCGGGAAAAGCCTAGCAGGCCAGAGACATAGAGCCAGTGAAAAAGTTAACTGACAGTTTATTTGTTGAACTTTGTTTCTTTTGCATTTCTTATAAACGCAGGGTGGCCTTGTGGCGCTATAGACTAACTTGGCTGCAGCAGAGGTGAGGACCCTGAACAGGGGGTCCTTAGCTAAAGCCAGCAGTAAAAAGTAAAAGTGGTCGGTTTGGGTTGCCTGATCAAACATGCCTAGCTCTGCTCTGCCTGAAAGCTACCCATAATAGTGTACAAATTGGTTCCTAGCTGGGATTTTTTAAATTATTATTATTATTTTTTGCTGAGGGCACAGCAAGATGGGTAAGAAGGTCAGTGAGAGAAAAAGAGGGGGGGGAAACAGAGCAGATTCTGCAGCTGCTGGCCCAGCAGCAGGCAAAGCAGTAGGGAGCTCCAATGATGGGGATGCTATGAATGCAGGTGCAAAGCACGAAGCTGTTACAGCTAGTGGAAGAACTAGCAGGTGACAACCCAGACCCTTAAGGCTGCTGCAGGGAATCTCTTGGGGGGAGCTGGAGCCATGGCAATGCCACATATGATCAAGGAGGATGACCCCAATATTTTTTTTAGAGGCGTTCAAGTGGATGGTAAACCAAGGTCAGTGACCAGAAGAGACCTGGACACCACAACTGGGGCTATTATCGATGGGGAAGGCACTAGGGCTATGCAAGGCTTCAGACAGAGCTTTGGATCTGGAGACGCTTCGGACACTTCGGGGTCCAAAGCAGCACATCCGGGTCGAAGCACTGGCCTCGTTAGACTTTCCAAAGCTGTTCAGAGCCGCCTTGGAGATCCGGCCTTAGGGTATAATGGGGAAACAATAAAATAGCTATGACTTTGTTGTTTTTTTGTCCGATTTGGATGAAACTTTCAGGGACGGTAGATTCTGCAGAGAGGATGAAGTCTGCCAAGTTTCAAGAAGATTGGTGTACAGGTTTGGGGGCAACTGTACCCCAAATTCTTGAAAGCCAAATTCCTGTCATGGCTGTGCGCTACAACACAGGGGTGTCAAAACTGCAGGGCTGGTAGCTCTTACTGAGGCCACAAAGCCTGCCAAGTTTCAAGAAGATCGGTGCAGGGGGTTGGGGGGAACTGCCCCTCAGGCTACAGACAAGCAAAACTGGTGCCACGGGTGCTTGTGGGACTGACTGTGTCTGTCTTGGGGCGGGCAAGGGAGTCACTGCTGCAGGCCTGGCTGCTAAGCTGCTGTGTTACCAATTACCAATCAATCAATCATGATTCTCTCAGGGACCAGGGATTTAGGGACCAGCTCAATACACAGGACCTAGCGCCTACATAACGACTTAACAAGCATCAATTAGCACCTACAAAACCAGGCTAAGGAGAGGAAAGACTCAATACAGACAATCAACTGCCCCAAGACAGAGACAGTCTTGGCACAGTTTTGTCTGTCAGCAGCTAGGGGACGAGTTTTGCTTGTCTGCAGCTTGAGGTGCAGTTCCCCCAAAACCCCTGCACCTATCTCCTTGAAACTTGGCAGGCTTTGCGGCCTCAGTAAGAGCTACCAGTCCTGCAGTTTTAACCCCCCTGTGTTGTAACACACAGCTGTGACAGGAGTTTGGCTTTCAAGAATTTGGGGTACAGTTCCCCCCAAACCCCTGCATCACTTTTCTTGAAACTTGGCAGATTTCATGCTCTCAGCAGAGGCTATCATCCCTGCAAGTTTCATCCAAATCAGACAGAAGACAACGAAGTTATAGATACTTCATTGATTCCCCCATTATACCCTATGGCTGGATCTCCGAGGCAACTCTGAAGCTTCAGAGCTGCTTCGGCTGGATGGAGGCAGAAACCCAGTTCGGAGCTCCGGATCAGATCGCGGCCATCCAAATAGCGGGATCCGAAGCCGGATCAGATCGCTGCCGACTCACACAGGCCTAGAAGGCACAGGCAGTTTATGGCAGAATGCCCATAGCTTAGGCCCAGGATTGCAACAAAGTAAAAGCCCATCTTGCATTGGCTAGATGTAACTGAAGAAATGCGTAGGCAGATTCCGGAAAAAAAAGACAGGACCTATGACCCCTTGTCAATTGATACAGACTCTCTGCTTTGAGGCTCAGTGGCGGCTACAGGAAGGAACACCGAGGAGGTAGTCAAGATGCTAATCCTGGAACAGTTTATCTGGAAGGGGGAGCAAAGTCCTGGGCCCAGCAGCACCAGCCAAAAATGGTGCAAACAGCAGAGCAGTTGGTGGAAGATTTTCTGGCAGCTGGGAGGGAGCATGCACTGGAAACAGGGGGAAGCAGGCCATGCACCTAAAAGAGGGACTCTGGTACCCCAAAGGAGGCAGGAAACATGAGAAGGGGGGCTAAGCCAAGGAGTTAATACTATATGCTTTCAGTGTGAGTGCTCAGGCCATTACACTGGAAATTGTTCACAGAGCCCTTCTCAGACTGGGAGTGGAGAGAAGGAGGCAGCAAGTAGACACAAGCCTTCTCCAGGGGGGAGGTATGGAACATGAACTCAGAGATGCTGCCCCTATGAGGCCAAGGAAACGACAAGCAGGCAGCAACCTCATCACAGTGGAAGTCTGGATTGAAGGACAGCGGGCGACTGTGTTAGTGATACCAGATCCACCCAAATGACAGTGAAGCAGAAGCTAGTGAGGAATGTATACTGGTACATAGTGGAATGTTCTGAACTGCTATGTCTGCATGGAAAACCACATGTATATGAGCAGGCCTGGGTCCAGTTTACCATCAGAGGCCAAACCCACCAGGTGCTGGCATACCTGGCTATGCCTTTATCTTTTCTGGTGCTCCTCGGATGAGACTAGCCATTAGGGGTGTGGAAGCGGGCCCTATTCAATTTGGATTCAGCCCAAATCAGGACGGTGATTCGATTCGTTGATTCGGATCACTGTCCCCGAGTCGATTCAGCCAAATCCAAATCTGAAGATTCAATGCTGATTCGGAGAAACAGCAATTCAGACATAAACACAGCTTTAAAAGTTTTTTCTATATACCTTGAGGTACTAGCGCAGCTTGTGATCGCTGCAATGCTGGGGCACATGGAGCATCCCACAGGCATGGGACCTCCCACGGGGGGGGGGGGGGGGGAGGCCCTCCACATGCTTGGCGGCGAACCCGGAAGTACTTCCGGTCCCCTTCTGGGTCCACCAGGGAGCACACTGGGGGACCCCCCTCCCGCACCTCCCTGGCTTGGTGATCAGCCACAGGGGGACCCCAGGTGTCCCCCCAAACCCAGGAGGCACCAGTCACCAAGCTGGGAGGGCATGTGGGGGGGGGACAGCGTGCTCACCGGGGTACTCGGAAGTGGACCAGAACTGCTTCTGCTCCACTTCTGGGTCTGCTGCCGAGCTCGCCCCAGCACTGCAGCACTCATGAGCCTCCTGGTACCTAGAGGTATGTAGAAAAAACGTTTAAAGCTGTCTCTATATCCAAATCTCTGAATCTTTCAGAATCTCTCTGAATCGATTCAGAGAGTTCCGATTCAATTCGGAGAGATTAAAGGGTCCTCTGATTCGATTCGGATTTGGCCACCGAATTGGACCAAATCTCCGCTGACTCAAATCAGGGACCAAATCTTCGCACAGCCCTACTAGCCATGTCTCCAAGAGCTGTTAAGCACTCCAGTTAAAGGGACCAAACCTCCTTTCAAGCCCAAGATGGGAGAGCTCCTGGGGGAATTTATCTCTAGAGGATCCCAAGGGAGGAGAAGGGTACCCAAGAATGAAGGAAGATGACATTGGCCCAGAGCTAGAAACCAGCCAATTCACTGCCAAGCAGACACTCAAAAATAGGTTCCAGCACATGCATGAAGGAGATCTGGCCAAAGTCAAAGATGAAGTTGTGCAGCCCAATTTGGTTCATATGGTACCTTGCTTTGAGGTAAGACAGGATTTGCTCTACCGTATTGATAAAGGTGGGCCTGGGATTGAGGCTGCACAGCTGTTAGCTCTGAAGACATACCAGAGGGCCTTAATGTGACCGGCACATGAGCTCCCTATGGGAGGAAACTTAGGGGAAGATACAACTTGCAAGCGGCTAGAGGACTGATTCTTTTGGCCAGGGATTAGGCAGAAAGTAGGCTGGTTTTGTTGATCCTGCCCTGAGTGCCAGCCTGCCCAGCATGGTGGTCCTACTGCTAATGGAGGAAACATTTGAAAGGGTGGCAATAGCTATCATTGGCCCGTTGCCACGGAGTGCCACTGAGTACCCATTCAGTCTAGTACTGGTTGATTATACCACCTGGTACCCAGAAACAGTACCCCTGATGTTGGCAAGTGTGGAAAAGGTGGCAGAAGAGCTTTTGCAATTTTTTCTCAAGGTAGGTCTTCTAAAGGAGATTTTAACTGACCAAGGAAATAATTTTATGGCTTAAGTTTTTAACAGAGTATGTTAGACCCTGTGGATGTGACACTTATGAACTTCTGTTTATCACCTGCAAATGGATGGCTTTGTCAAGCAGTTCAACCACACTTTAAAAAGTATGTTAAAAAAAGTAGCTGGCAGGACACCCAGTGGTGGGACAAGCTGCTTGGGCCTTTGATGTTTGCATACCGCAAAGCTCCACAGAGTGCCATGGGATTTTCTCCCTTTGAATTGTTGTATGACCATCACCTACAGGGACTGTTAGAGACCTGGATAAGGAGGGATGGAAAACACAGGAAGGCTCTGCTTGAAGTCCCATGGCCCATATCTTGTAGAGGGAGAGACTGAAGACAGCCTGGTCTATAGCAAGGGAAAACCTACAAGGGGTTAAGGAACAAGAGGCAGCCAGATATAACCGCAGGGCATATGAGAGGCCATTTATGGAAGGCGAAAGTGTTAGTCCTGTTGCTGGATGAAACATCTAAATTCCCAGCGCGATGGCAAGGGCCATATGAAGTTATCTGAAGAACAGGCCTGGTAGATTATGACATATGGCAGCTGGGCAGGTGAAAGACACAGCAAATTTATCATGTCAACTTGCTAAAGTGGGTCGATAGGAAATCTTTCTTTATTGCCACAGGCCTGGAGCAGCAGGAGTTTAGTCCAGA